CAATTACTGTGATGCAGCTTTCTAACACCTGGTGTTCAGCTTCAACATATCTGGGCTCTACACAGAAGGGTTGCTGATGGACTATTATCATTTTTATTACACCTTCTAGATCCATTATTAGGTGGATAGTCAATATCAAGTTTCTGCTATGGAAACTCAGGGGCTCGGGATAAAATCTATAAAAAGTGAAAATTGCCACAATAAAATAAGCCAGCTTAAAAAGATGTGTTTTCATAGCTTTTCTGAAGAGTGTCAAGAACGGAGAATTGACTGCAGCTCTGTGGGGAGTTCATTGTACCATCTGGGGTCACAAAAGAGAAAGCTACTGTATTTCCTGTGTGTCTGTCAAGTGGGGATCTGTCTTGTTGGTATATGTCAGAGCACGTATCATGAAGATCGTAACATCTGGTCAGGTTCATAATGAGACACAAGATCCTTCAGATAGGATCACTCATAGGCATCCTTCAGTCTCAAGAGACTATGGTAACATGCTCTGAATCGAGGAATGTCCTCTCCAGAGCATGAAGCCCGGGTAAGGTAATATGGAGGATAGGCTGTTACCCAAGCAACAAATCCCCCCTCTCCACGTTGCTGAAAGGTCCAATGGAAAGGCAAGAGCCAATACAACTGGTTCCAGCAACGTCGCAGGAGTTGGCAGAACGACACGAGCTGCCTTCGGGACTCCAGCTCCGGATTTTGCCTCGAGGTTAACTCCTGAAGCCTTTTCCATCGGTGGATATAGCCACAAGGCAGTGGAGGTTTGAAATCGGAGTTTTCCTTCTCCGAGATGGCTGCCTTCCATGGCTGACGAGCCCCACCTACCCGGCCTGCTCTTTAATAGTGCAAAAGTATGATCTGATCCTTAAAACTTTCCTGACTCCCTGGCTTATGCAAATCTAATTGGCTGAGGCTGTCTTGTTTAACACAACCAGATCTTTTTATAAACTATTAAAACTTAGAATCCAAGGAAGAACACTTGAGTTCAAAGTGGATATCCCATTCACAGAGCACCTGTTTAGCATGCAGATATTTTCAGTTCCCACCCTGATATCATCACTTAACATACTGTAGATATATGAAGGGTCTGACTCACTCTGAGTTGGGTATACACATCCAGTGGTCAGTTCAGGATCATTGCTGTAACTCAGCAATTTGGTTTTAAAGTATAGTTATGACTGCCAGGAAAATACTAATCTAGTGGCAATAGCCTCTCGCACAATATTCTAGATACAGTACCTAGGATGTGCCCACCAGTCAGCTATTACTCTTAAAGCCTCCCTACCAGATATTTATTATTTTACTTTTATTTATTTATATTATTTATATGCCACCTGTTCCCCCCATAGGGGACCCAAGGCAATTAAAACTGTACAATGCTCACAGTTTTAAAAAACCATTAAGCTATATTAAAAAAGAAATTAAACCTTTGTCAATATTAAAACTAACATTAAAACTTTTTAAAAACAATTTTTAAAATCTGCAAATTTAATAAATTTAGCATTCTTGAGGCCCCCACTTATTGCTTTAAAAACTGCCTGAAAAAGAAGGTCTTTGATGAAAGAGAAGGGGGGCAACCTGACATCTCAGGGCAGCACATTCCAAAGCTTGGGAGCAACCACTGAGAAGGCCCTCTCTCATGTCCTCACCAAGTGAGCTTGGGAAGGTGGTGGAACCGAGAGAAGGGCCTCCTTAGAAGATCTTAAAAGCTGAGAAAGCTCATATGGAGTACAAGTGGGGTCTTGACTTGAGAACTTAATCCGTATTGGAAGGCGGTTCTCAAGTCAAAAAGTCTGTAAGTCAAGTCTCCATTGACCTACAGTGCATTGAAAACCGATTAATCCCGTAACAGGCCATTTTTGTTCCATTTTGGTTTTTTTCTGGTCTGTAAGTCAAATCGGGCCCCTCTGTCCACCCACCCACCCTTCCTGCAGGGGATCCCCAGCCTGGGATCTTGCTGGGGAGGGGGATCTGGTCGGCCCTTCCCTCTCCCCCATCAAGATCCACTGAACCAAGAGATGCTTCTGAAGGTATTCCTTGGCTGTTTGGTTATCCATCTCCAGCTGCAATTCTGTAACCCTATCCCCCCCAGTTGCACTTCCAATTTGTTTGGAAGTTCATAGTCTGTCTTATGGGAAAAGACGGAACTAAAATACGTGTTTAGCACCTCTGCCTTTTCTATGTCCTCTGTTATCATTTTTCCATCTCCGTTGCGGAGTTGTGCCACTATGTCTTTGGTTTGTCTTATATGACTCACAGTCCAGAAGAATGCTCTTTTTTTTGCTTTTAGTGTCTCTAGCTAACACCAGCTCATTTTCAGCTTTTGCCCTCCTAATGCCATCCCTGCATTTCCTTGCTACCTGTCTGTACTCCTTTCACACTTACCCTCCAGAATTAAAGTTTCCAATTCTTCTTCTTCTTTGTTTCCCATACTCCTGGCATTCATATACTCTGTGCTTGCATTTGTTATGATTTATTAGAAGGAAAACTCCGATTTCAAACCTCCACTGCCTTGTGGCTGTATCCACTCATGGAAAAGGCTTCAGGAGTTAATCTAAAGGCAAAATCCGGAGCTGGAGTCCTGGAGGCAGTTCATGTCGTTCTGCCAACTCCTGCGACATTGCTGGAACTAGTTGTATTGGCTCTTGCCTTTCCATTGGACCATTTCAGCAACATGGAGAGGGGGGATCTGCTGCTTGGGTAACAGCCTATCCTCCATATTACTTCACCCAGGCTTCATGCTCTGGAGAGGACGCTCCTCAATTCAGAGCATGTTACCATAATCTCTCGAAGTCAAATCTCAGTCTGCAAGTCAAACCTAAATTTTGCGGCCAGAGAAGTCTGTAACTCAAAAAGTCTGTGAGTCTGTAAGTCAAGGGTCCACTGTACTAAATCCTTCAGGTAGCCTGGACCCAAACCATATAGGGTTTTATAGGTAATAACCAGCACTTTGATTTCAGCTTGGAAACAGACTAGCAGCTAGTAAAGCTGTTGTAATAAGGGAGTTCTGTTCTCCCCATAAGTCAGCCTGAAGAGCTCCCCTTCTTTGTTATGCCCCTTGGCAGTGACTAAGGGGCAGTCACTGCCAAGGGACAGTGCCCAGCTCACCTCTGTACCAGTGGGGCTGAGCCCTGGGCTAGGCAAGTGACCATCTCTCTGTGACATCTGAAGACACCTTTGAGCAGGAAAGCTAACAGGCAGGAGTCAAATCCACATTAATATAAAGTTCACTATAACATTTATATTGATAGCTGGTAACAAGCAATAATTGTGGATAGAAACCAATGAATATTTTATTTAACACCTGTTTATTAATTTAAAAATTAGAAACCAATGAATATTTTATTTAACACCCGTCTATTAATTTAAAAAAAAAACATAATTCTTCTCCGTTACACAGATACTTAGTTGTAATTTATGAAAGCAAGACAGCATTCACATCTTATTGGATGTTTATGCATGTGCAAGTAGAATAATGGAAGCTGAAGTAGGTAACTGGATCTAACTGACAACGCCCTGGGTGTGCACCAGATGCAAAAACAGGCAGGTGATCAGCATGTGACCAGCACTTCATCATTCGGCTGCAGTAACGTCCATGATTCCTCTTGTGTGTATATAAATATTCAATGTGATTCTGGCCAGTATAGTCTCATGTGATTCTAGATTACAAAAACCTTTTCATATCTGTATCCAAAGATTTTTTTTACTCAAAGATTGTAGAGCACAACATTTTTACGTCCATCTCCCTGCTTCATTAATCCATTTGTGCTGTAGTAATTGAGTTTTCTCAGTGATGCATACTTCAGCAATCAGAAATCTATTTGGCTTGTGTTCAAAGAGGTGCTCCCTCAAGTGGTGAGATGTCTTTTCATCATAGTACAGTATGTGGTTTTCCTTGTCCTGTTACCATGCATTCATTAGGTTTGATTTCGTGATGGGCTGTGTAGCATACA